TCTTCACATTCCTAAAAACAGCTAAAGCACTAAATGATGCTTCCAGCACCTTTGAGGATGAGCAGAAGGCTCATCTGGTCTCAGCTGAGGCCTGACTGATGCTGCTGGTCCTACAGATGAAGACTCCCTCTGGTGTCTCCGTTTATCGGCGTTTCATCCACGGATGAGTGGACAGGACTTTGTTCGTTCCAGAAAGACAAGAGAAAGGGCAACAAATCAAATTAATCTTTTTCACATGCAAACTGGAACATCCATTTTTTCCAGGATTGGCACGTGACGCTGACCAGCCTCAGACAGGAACATAAAAAAAACTTGTCAAATCCATCAGGAGGGTTGAAGTTAAAGTTCCCGGCAGAGGGCGTGGTTTGGCCTCAGCGAACCATGAGGTCTGAATGCACCCCCCCCATCCTCTGCCCTGGCAGCTCTGGTTACTAAAACATTCTGTGAATCTGTGGCCTGCAGTGAAACCCCGAAGCCATACTGTAGCCTTTGTGTTGCTGCGTGGAGCCCCTGAGCAGGTGTAGCAGCTGAGTGGAGGGCAACTGCTGCCACACCACCATCAGGAATACTTGCCGAGCAAATATGGCCTCGTGCGCAGAGGCGAACAGAAATGAAGCTGATGTGACACATGAGTCAGGACATGACTCAGCTGAGATCAAACTGGTTTAGGTCTAACTGGATCAGAAGGTTCTTGTCTAGTTGGTTTATCTCCATAAGACTGATCAGATCAGCCCTTTTACTTTTTATACTCCGAGTCCAGGAAGTACGCTTTATAACTTGTTTTGGAAAGTGCACAGTTTTCAAGGTTTAAATAAATAAATAAATAAATAAATAAAGTTAATCCCAAAGCTTGTAAAAATGCACAAATCCATCTGGTTTTGCTCACTCAAGCATGTTGCTGACTCAAAAAGAAGCGTTTGGCTTCATGCATAAAGATTGTGGAACATCTGCAGAAAAGGCAAAATATAAAATGGTCTGGCTTTTGCTAATTTGATTTAATTTGAGCTTTTTTTTTTTTAAATAATGAAAATTATATTTTCTAGCCATGTGCTATTTTTCCAAAAAGTCCATCCTGCAATCCTATTTTAAAAATACTAATAAACAGAAAAACTAAAAATAAACACCCGTAATTAAATTTTATATTACACAAGCTAATCAATGCCTTAAAAAAACACAAAAAAGATAAAATAGTTTTGACAAAAAAACATTTTTCACAAAGAGAAACAACTTTTATCACCAAACAAAAGCATTTTAGGAGCATATTACTAATGATGCATATAGCTCTCTCACTGATTATGTAAATCATTTAACCTTGTTAGAAAACTTTTTTTACTTTTTGCATTAGTCTTGCAGAGCTGTGAGGCCAAAGTAAACTGATAATTTATTCAACATCATTTATTTATTTAACCACAGGTAGTCTCATTGTAGGAGAACTCATTTTCTAGAGAGACCTGTTTAAGAAAGACAATATACAACAACCAGAAGATAGAAACCAAATAAAGATAGATATTTGTGAACAAGTATGCATGTGCATATATATAAAAAAAATCAACTGCAGTTGTATTTATTTTGTTGTTGTTCTCATAAATAAAAAATATTGTAACAAAAAAAGCAGCAGTTTGAGAATCCCGCAAAGTTAAATTTGTGTCTGAATCATGATAAAATAAAATCCCACATCCCACCCCATGTCCTCACCACATCTACAGAGGAACCATGGGGAGCATCATCATCTGCTGCATCTCGGTTTGGGAAGGAAGCTGCCCGGCTGCAGACTGGATGGATTTGAGGAGGGTGGTGAGAACGGTGGAGAAGATTATTAATACACCCCTATTCTCCATCCAGGACATTGATCAGACGCTGAGACAACTCACACCCACAATGTGGACTGTCTACTCTGTTGACCTCTGGCAGGAGGTACCGCAGCCTGAGGACCAGAACCACCAGGTTCTGAAACTGTTTCATCCCATGAGTTATCAGACTGCTGAACTCAGGTCACTAATGAAGTGACCACAACAGAAACACAGACACCGACATACCTCAGTAAAATACAACACCCAGTATGAGCAGAATATGGGAATTCACTCAGGCGTGGATGCTGTGTGTACTGTGTATGTACGTATTTATACATATAGGTAGATGTATGTGCATGCATGTATAAATGTATCACATGTCTCGGTGTATATAGGAACATTCGCTAACATTTGCACGTGTTATATCGGGACAAGAATTGCATCTTCTGCTCTAAACAGCCAAAGTCTATAAAACTCATGTAAATGATGTAGCCTACTCCCACACTGCTGTGGAGAAAAGAAACAAAATTTCATTCAGTTTTGCACTGTACAGTTTTGAATGACAAAGTTTATAAAGGTAAAATAAAATCTGCAGCTGAAAGTTAATTCAGCTGAATGTTTCAGTCATCCTCACAGCTGGAGCAGCAGATGTTTTGATGGTGCACGTTTGACGGCCTTAACTCAGCAGGGTCTCAGCTCAACGTGCCACGGCTCCAACGAACAGAAACACCAGTTTTAACATCATCTGCAACATTCCATGCATCAGCTTTGAACTGAAGCTTTGTTGGAATTAAATTTATTTAAAACAATAGTCTGTCATTATTAGCTTGTTTGAATTTACATGTTTGGAGTGTTGCCAACAGACGCAGTGTAATAATTAAGACATACAGTCGTTAGAAAAGCCTTAGAGGAGCAGCCTCGGAGAGGGGCCAGACATAAAATCTGCTCCCTGACAGGAAGTGACAAATAAAAACTACAAACTGTCTCCAAGTAGCGGTGAGCTAACACACGGTCTGTCGAAAGCTGGACTCGCTCGCTGCACATTTTTTCGTCTGTTCTCCAGTTGAGATAAATTATCAGACTGACAACAAAGCATTTCTGAAGAATGACAGACACGCCACCTCTGAAAGACACATTTTTGTCTTTATTTAAATATATTTTCTATCAGTTGTGGCAAGCAGACTCTTCCTGCTGGTCTTTTAAAGCAGAGTAGACATTTTTATTATTTTAGTGGACAAAAAATGACCTTAAACGTGAAATAGATAAAAATCTGAGCTTAAAGGCTTTGACTACACGGTCGTGGAATGGAACATCCATCCATCCGTTCTCTTCCACTTATCCGGGGTCAGGTTGTGGGAGTAGCAATCTAAGTAGGGAGGCCCAGACTTCCCTCTCCCCAGCCACTTGGGCTCCAAGGCGTTTCCAGGCCAGCCAAGGAACATAGTCCCTCCAGCGTGTCCTGGGTCTCCTCCCGGTGGGACGTGTCCAGAACACCTCACCAGGGAGGCGTCCAAGAGGCATCCTAACCAGATCAACGAGCCACCTCAACTGGCTCCTCTCGACGTGGAGAAGCAGAGCAGCTCTACTCTGAGTCCCTCCTGGATGATCGAGCTTCTCACCCTGTCTCTAAGGGAGGGCCCAGACACCCTGCGGAGAAAACATTTTGTCTGCTTGTATCCGTGATCTCGTTCTTTCTGTCACAACCCAAAGCTCATGACCACAGATGAGGGTAGGAACGTAGATCGACTGGTAAATTGAGAGCTTCGCCTTTTGACTCAGCTCTCTCTTCACCACGACAGACAGCGCCCGCTTCACTGCCGACGCCACACCTATCCGTCGATCTATCTCTCGCTCCATTCTTCCCTCATTCGTGAACAAGAACCCAAGATACTTAAACTCCTCCAATTGGGGCAGGACCTCCTCCCCGACCCGGAGAAGGCACTCTACACTTTTCCGGCTCAAGGCCATGACCTTGGATTTGGAGGAACTGATCCTCATCCCGACCGCGTCACACTCGACTCGACGAACCGCTCCAGCGAAAGCTGTAGATCACGACCTGATGAAGCCAATAGACTGGAACAAATATGTTAAAACATTCTAACTTGTAAAGTAAGAAAATATATCCGCACAATATTTTTCTCATCTTGATGGTTAATGTGTCCTTACATTAAAAATTAAGTAAAACGTATGACCTGATGCCAAATACAATGTGCATTTGTTTAGATTTGGAAACAGCCAAAGTGGCTAAAAATAGCTCAGCAAGAGCAACATCCTTAGAAGAGCTGTGAGGGGTGCAGAAGTCCAGCAATTTGTATTTATACATTAATATTTGTTAAGTAAAGAACGTTAGCGCTGAACTAGAGCTCAAAAGACACTGAAACGATACATTTACTGATTTATAATAAAGCAGACAGCTGTCTCGCTCATTCTTTCACTTTTCTGTCTCGTTTAGGTGGAAATATAAAAGTGAATGTGCTGCTAAACATCTGAGAGTCTACGCTTGTCCGATCCTGCCTTATTTATTTACCTACGCAGACTACAACCAACTCAAGCTGACTCGAGCTTTTAGTGGTTTTTGGCGAGTTTCGGACCAGTGCTTCGTTCTTTCGAAATTGCACATCGATAAATCTGAAACAACTGTTTCAAACTGTACCGTGATTTGACACCAGTCAGGACGACCCTCTTTCATCCTGTGCAATGATGACGAGGCTCCAGTCTTCATTAGGAGCTGGTCAAATTTAACAGGTTAAATCCTGAAAAATCTACCAAAGACTAAAAAACAAGAGACTAAAATAAAAATCTGCAAACTGTAAAATTTATTATTGCAACCAAAACCTCACTGACCCTTAACGTTGATCTAAAGTAGTTCAGATATGCTGCGGCTCGTCGTCTCGCCCTGACCGGAGCTTCAAACACGACGCTCTGGCATGAAAACAGCTGTCCTCTGACGCCTCAGTGGGCCTGCCATCCTGTGGGACATTTAATCTTTAAAGGTCCACAGTGGACAGCTGGGTGTGTTCAGTCTGGGAGTGTCTGCACCACTCGGGCTGCCTACTACAGCTGGACCCAGCCACATTCACAACAAAGAGATGGAACTATCATAGCTAGTCACTTGTTTTATTAAAAATAATAAGTTTTATTAAAGGAGCAGAGGCCTGCAGAGGACGTTCGCATCGATTGGATGTGCTTGAGTTCATCTTGTTGGTTATCATGGGGGCTTTCATCGCCAAGATGCTGCTTCCGACCGTCAGCAGCCTGGTGCTCCTGCCGACAGCCGGCGTGGCCGCCAAGAGGGGCTTCCACATGGAGGCCATGGTCTACTTCTTCACCATGTTCTTCACTGCGGTGAGAAGGTCTTCCAAGTGTCCGCCTCACATCGTGATAGCTCTGACGTATCTTACTTTTTTTTCTTAATTAGCAACAAATCTTTAAAACAAATTGTTAGAGGCTGAGATGTAACAAGTCTACGCAACGTTTCAAGGATTTTATAGAAAATAATTTGCATAAACTTCATCCGGTCACAGCCATATCTTGTCAGAACCTGTGAGATAATTAGCAAATAAGTAACCGCAGTAAAATAAATCAGTAAATAAAATCCCATCTTAGAATTAAAGCCTTGTAATCAAAGTACAAAATTGTTGCCGAGCTGTTCAGATGAATGTAAAACATTTTAAAAGTTACCATCGAAGCCCTGACAAGTTTTATGCAGCACATCCTGAAATTATAACCACTTGTCTGTTGTTCTGTAGATTTTTCACGTCTGTGACGGTCCGGGTCTCTCCATACTGTGTTTCATGAGATATGACATCCTGGAGTACTTCACTGTTTACGGGACGGCGCTCTCAATGTGGGTCACACTTATAGGTTCGTCTTCACCTCAACATGTGACTAAAGTTCTGTGTGTTGTCGTCAGTGTTTGTTCTCATACAATGGTGAAATTAGTTCTCTGCATTTGACCCATCACACCTGAGATACACCCAGGTGGAGCAGTGGGCAGCTATGCAAGCACCCGGGGAGCAACTGGGGAACAAGTGTCTTGCTCAGAGGCACCACGACATGTAACCACTACCCTAAGACTCCATTTATGACCTGAAGAGGTGCTGCCAAATGTTTTATTATAAAACCCAAACATTCATAAGCTGAAACCAAACTGAAACCGTCACAAAATAATTCAGACATATTTGAAATATATTTGCAGATTTTTGTATATTTTTTATTGACATTATAACCATCATAACAAGCACGTTACTAAAGGTGTAATATATACCTGAACAGGGTTCCTTTAAATTTAGATCTTGCTGAAAAATAAATTAAAAAGCCTCGTAGAGGGGTTTGGACACCAAAATAATCCAAGCTCCACAGCAGCAGTCCTGCTGGCTCTTTGACGTTTTTGTCTGGTTCTGAAAAATGTTTCCAGACTTAATTCCTTTTATGTAAATAAAAATATAAGCTGCAAGCTAGTGAGCCACAAGTTAACCTCAGCCCTAAAGCAAACATTACTTCTTTTTTTTGTTATGTTGAATTTAAAAAAGTTGTTACTTTTATTAATCTTTCAGAAAACTGGAACAGAAAACCTCTCACACAAGACCAACAACGAGCAGGCAGCTCATTCTGCTGCAGTTGTTGCAAACATGTGTTCTGTCTATATGAGTTCTGAACACGTGTGCTCAGAAACACTTGTTATTCTCACATGCACACACACACGCACACACACACATAATTATGGTACGCTCCCATTTAAAGCCCTTTACATCTCCTGCAGCACAGAGTTAAACCCTCCACAGCTGAACTGCACTGACTGTTCTTTTTTTTAGCACATCTTACTGTAATGTTGCCAGCCAGAAAAAACATTTGGATTTATTCTTTGAAATGTCTGCAGATCTGGTAAAGTTTCTATAAATTAGCAATTAACACTAAATTTGTGTTCCTGACAGATTTGCATTGATCAAATTTTCTCAAGAAGACAGGGTGAAGGAGAGTCCTTTTACCTCGGAAACATAATTGGATTTATGATAACTGGATTCTGCTTTTTTTTTGAGTCAGTGGAAATCTGGATTGTCGACAAATTCAGAACGTCAGCAGCTGTTTAAGCTGTCTGGTATGTGTATGCCGAGCTTGGCAACACTCAGACTGTATGCAAACTATCAGTGGACCTGTATCAGAGCTGAGCAGGCAGGACTGTGGAACTCTGTGGCAGTGTTCATGGACTGTTGGAAGGAATAGATCTCGGAGAAGTTGTAAGCCCGACTTAAGTAATCACAATTCAACTGTTTGGAGTTGTCATTAGATGAACTAGTGAGACTGTTAAAGGCAGATGCGAAAATTAAAGAGCTCAGCCTGACTTAAAACAATGTTGAAATCTGAATCTGGCTGTGGCCTTGCAAGGCTGACTATCTCAATTGCTCCTTGGATGTTATGGGAACGAGACGCTCTGATCCCCTCCTCACCCCCTAAGGACTTCCCCTCAAACTCATGCCTTTGCCAGCCTTCCTCAATCACCTCCCCTGGTGCAGCAACCTAGGAGATACGAAGGCGCCAAAGGGCTGCGTCGCTCACCTGGTAGCCGTGCTGGGACCCCCACCCACTCCACATACATGTAGTATGTCTATATGTGTTTTTTATGTTGCGCTAAGGTCATTTTTTTGCAACTCTCATACTGTGTTCTGTAGGACGCAGAGCGAGATTTGATTGTTTTTTATACCTCCCTCCCCCTCGTGCTTCTTTGTCCTTATCTGAAAAAAAGGCTGTGCCTCTTGAGGCGGCGGCCTCAGTCGCCTCCGTCTCCCCATGTCAGTTGTTTATGTTGTTCTTGGACAGGCTGTACTGCAAATGCAATTTTGTTGTGCTTCAATGCAATGACAATAAATCTGAATATGATTCTGATGTTTGAAATGTGCCAAACTGTTGATCTGATGTAAAACGTCCGAAGAAAATGACTTTACTGCCTGATTCCGAACCTTCTTACCTGTTAAATAGTGCTGACTAAATGTTACCTGAACGGTTTGAACTTGGTGTCTCGTTTGCAGTCTCACAGAGGCCAACATCCCTGCAGCGTTATACGTATTTTAATATTCAAGTTTGAAAACTCAACGTTTCCATATGTTTGGCTTTTTGTTGCAGCTCTGGCAGATTTTGATGAACCCCAGCGCTCAAGTATGACGATGTTTGGAGTGCTGACCATTGCTGTTAGGATCTACCAGGACCGCTGGGGTTATGGAATCTACTCTGGCCCGATCGGATCGGCCGTCTTCATCATCACAATCAAATGGGTGAGCGGCAGACGTTGGAACAGAGCTCCTATTTCAAGTCTCACTCAAATCTATTTCAGTGTTTCTTCTGTACAATTAAAAGTCACTAATTAAAAGTGTTTTTCTTTATTTAAAGCAGCCAAACCACGTTATGCAATTTTAACCATTTATATATCAAAACATGCAGCTATGGAATAAGGTGCTACGATTTTTAGTGTTTGTAATCTTTTTACTTTGTCAAATTTTTAACTATTTACAAAAACTTCCCCATTGAAATGCATTAATATTTATTTAATTCCTTCAAAAACAGTTTTTTAAAATCTACTTCAACATACATGCCCTGTGTTCTCTTGAGCTCCTTAGTGTCTTGCTAATTTTAGCTTTTAGCTGCTATTTTTCAAATTTTAGTGAGTTTGGCTGATTTTAGCTTTTAGTGTCTGTTTTTATCATTTTAGCTTTTACCTATAATTTGTCTAACATTAATTTTTAACTACGGTTTTGTTAACTTAGGCTAGATACTGCTTTGAAAATCTTAACTTTTAACAACAGTTTGCTTAATATTGGCTTTTATACTGTGCTGTTTTAGCTTTTAGCTGCTGTTTTGCTGGTTTTAGCATATGGTTATTTTAAAATAAATTACTTTATAGAGCATTCTTTAATAAATCTCAGCAACATTGTTCAGAGTTCATGGGGATTTTGTAAAAATAATAATTTCTCTGGTTTCCTTCCACTTTTCTTTTAAAATCTCCAAAATCAAATGGTTTATCCCTGTAATTTTCCATCTTCTCTGCTTTACATTCTTGTTCTTCCTCCCTTTTGTCTCATACTACAAATCGCTCAGGATTTCATTTGTGTGTGGATATTCTGTGGATGTTATTGTAATGAGCTCTTGCTGTTTCAGCTGCAGAAGATGAAACAGCTGAAGGCGGTTTATCCGGAGAAGACGGTGTACACGCAGCAGGTTGGTCCGGGCTGCTGCTTCGGTGCTCTCGCGCTGATGCTCCGTTTCTACTTTGAGGTGACTCATCATCCAAATAAAACCCAACCCAAAAGATAAATGTTTGAACTTCATGTGCGACTCCATCTTTTACATTTTACATTCGGCTCGGTTTGCAAAGCTAAAGGCCGTTTCTTTTTCACTGCAGGAGTGGGACTACGCCTACGTCCACAGCTTCTACCATCTGTCCCTGGCTGTTTCCTTTGTGCTGCTGCTGCCCAAGAAGAACCGCTACGCAGGGACTGGACAAAATGCTGTGAAGCTCAACTGTTTAACTCTCTGCTGTTGTGTACGTTGCATTTATTAAATATAATGCATTCTAGTGCAGTAAGCAGAACATGTCGCTGACAGCAAGATAGATGCAGAGCATGAAGTTGTTTGACGTTGAATTGGCCTAATTGTGTTCTCATTTCTTCTCCAGACCATGACTCCTGCTTCTTCTAAGGAGAAGACAGAGAAACCAAAGAAGAAGTTGTCTCGGTCAGTGTGGACGGTCCCCATCAAGAAGCCATGGGCACGAGAGGCTAGCTCACCCACCCTGCCTCTGTACAGTCCCCCACCCTCCACACCTGTCAAAGGGACCAGCATCAGCAAGCTCAAAGAGATGAACGGCTGGAAGTGAACCCACAAACAAGAGCCCGTCAGTCTGACAGCTAAATAAACAGGCTGGAAACTCACCAATCACCTGCCAGCCAAACGCTGATGAACACGCACGTGGCTGGTAAGCGAATCTCCTTTAACAGGAAACCAACAAACACGTGGACGTTCCTTTCTGCCTCCAAAATCTCTTTTATGGCTGGTGGAATATTTAAGCAGTAACTTAAGGAATTCTCCAGCCACCGAAGCCAAAAGATAAATAAACAAACGTGAGCCCACGTAAAAATTTATTTGAAAAAGATCAGGCGGTGAATAAGGACTCGGATCAGGAACCGTCTAAAGCTGGGGATGGAGCAGGACACGGAGACGGCGGCTGAGACGATCCAGTAAAACTGACTGGAAGATTTATGAGAAGAGCAAACCGGCATATGGTTCATCTCTCCAAAATATATAAATTGTCTTTGGAGATGTTCCTCAGGGGAAAATGTTCGTCTGCTCGCCTCTTTCTGTCGTTTCATTCTTCTCCTTTTTTATCTCTTAGAGAAAGGAACCACGCGTCTCGTAAGAATTATTAGACTGTAAAGCTCAGTTCAACATTTTATACGTCCTAAAAGTGCCAGATATGTCATGTGTAGCTTCAGACCAGGGACGAGGAGAAGGAGCGGCCCAGACATCAGTCTGTCTGAGGTGTCTTGATGTTTTTTTTGGATGAGCAGGTGAACGTCTGATTTCTGTTCAGCCTTATAATTTATTGCAGCGTGATTTGTTTGTATTGTATGTTTGGAAATTAAAATGAGAAAACTGTTTTTAAGTAGCATTTGTAGGCTTAGAGAGATTTAAATGAACTTACCGTAACAAAATTCGCACATTTTTAAAAATATATTTATGGTTATGCCTTTAAATTAAACATTTCTGAGACAAACTTGTGAATGTCGGTCAACTACTGTGTGTGGAAGTTGTTTTACTAAGAAAAACAGCAGAACGGACTGAAAAAGGTCAATGGAGGAGCTGTTTGGGACAGAGAAGTCCGACATTTTTTATGTATTGAAAATGTATTTACACTCAGATGTGTTGAGTAAAATATGAAGAATAAAGTGCTTTTTACACCCAGTGTGGATCCACATTTCACATAAATATATCTGAACAACTACCGGAATAAACTCTTTCAAGCTGCACTAAATAGTTTCAGGATAACTTTTTAAATGTTCATAGTACCTTTTAACTAAGACGTTGTAATTCTGCAATCCATACTCCACAGAAGATGACCACTGAGAAAAACCCTGACTGGCGCATACTTCAAGGCCCACGTTAGTCTAGCAACGCTAATCCAATTTTAAGCGCACGTATCATCTTTCACTTTCACTTCGGGAGGACGTGGACTTGTCTGTGCATGCACGTCACCTGCCCAGAACGTTACCCAAAGACTACAAATCTGTCCTGCGTATCTCAGACAAAACAGACTTCCCTCCATCGGGGAATGTTTTGAGCTGGGGCCAAACCGCCAGCTCCAGCACCCAGAGAAAGGTGTTTTTGTCTGCACTCAGAAACCCGACTGGCTGCATCTCACGGCCCTGACAGGACAGGAACACCAGCCTTTTATTGCTCAACTGCAAAAAAAACTATTCAGCTCCTTTATGAGCACTGTCTGAGCCGCTCTGCAGAGGGGCTGAAGGCCACACACGTTCACAACTGAATGAATATACCTGTAAAGACTTATTGTCTAAAGCTCTTACCAAATGATGTCCCACCTAATGCCTGACCCAACACTCTGAAGCACTAGTTGTCTAAGCTGGGGTCAGGAACTCACTGTGGTTTGTAAAATGCTAAAGGATGATCCCCAGAAATAAAAAAAAATATAATAAATGATTACTAAATGTGTGCATTTAAACTATGGAGGAGCATTCCTTGAAGTAATGAATACCACTTAGCCTTGGATCCAAAAGTTTTAAACTAAATCCTGTGATTTTTCACTGCTTGTTGCAACAAATGTTAGCTAAATATTATGAGGTCCACAAAGTTGTAGCCATTTTTGTGCGTTTTCTGAAGTCTATTAGCTGTGACAATCATCTTGAATTGGGTTGACTTCAAACAGAAGCTTTGCAGTTCAAAGATTTTATGATAATCTTGAACAGAAACAGAATCAGACACGCTCGTTGCTTTTGGACCCGGCCCGAGCCTGTCTGCTGAAAACCATATTGAGCATCTGTACAAACATCAACCGTGTCATCATTTACGGTCTTAAGAAAGAAGTGATGGATGACAGACAAAGCAGAACTTCAACAAGTGTCAGAAAATCAGAAAGAAATGCTTTGGAACATATGAGAACAGTTTTGTTTGTAACACAAAGCACCAACTTCTCTGATTTATTTAGTACCCTTTATTTAACCAGGCAAATCCCATTGGGATCACAGATCGCTTCTGCAAGGGAGGCCGGGGCCTGAAGGCAGCCCAACATGCATGTTTTTCATCTGTGGGAGGAAACCGGAGTACCCGGAGAAAACCCACACAAACACGAGAACATGCAAACTCCCCAGGTCCAACCAGGGCTTGAACCCAGGACCTTCTTGCTGTGAGGCAACAGTGTTAACCACTGAGCCACTGTGCTGCCAAATATTCAAAGCTGCTATGGATGGACAGATATGATCCGATATCATGTGCAAGTACCCATAGTCATAAAAATGTTCAGATACCACAGTACAAATACCATGGGCATCAACCATGTGGAGGGAGTCCATCCATCCATCATCCATCATCTTCTGCTTGTTCCAGAGTCAAGTGGCAGGAGCAGCAGTTTGAGCAGGGAGGTGCAGACATCTCTTTCCACAGCCACCACTTATATTTTTTCTGGGAGGATTCCTAGGCCAGTATTTCTGGCGTGTCATGGTCTTCCCAGGGGTTTCATGTCCATAAAACTTCCCTAGCAGGTATCCATACAAGATGCTTGTACCACCTGAACTGGTTCCTCCAGATGTGGAGGAGCAGCGGCTCTACTCAGAGTGTCTATTCTACCCTTTTCCAACAAAAAAACATGTAGAGTTTATTTGTTTATTTTTGAGATGTCTGTCCTGATCCACCTAGTCAGTTGGTCACTAATGCACTATAAGGTTGTTTGGTAACCATCAATAAACACCAGAAGAAGAAGTGTGAAGGTAGTTCAGTGAAGAGAACTCCAAGAATGTACAGAACTGAGTCTGAGCTTCATGAAAATCTCCTGGCTCAGTCCCTGACAAGAAGATGAAGATCTTCGTGATCATCACTGAGGTTAAAACAGGCTTTTATAATCTTCAGAGAGATGTAAGTGTCATCAACCTGGGCCCTTCAGCATCCACCCAGTGAGGAAGCAATGGAGCCTGCCACCACCTTCAATCTACACCAGGGTGTCTTGGTCCTCAAGGCCTCTACTCAACATGTTTTACCTGTTCCCCTGCCCCAACACACCTGAATCAATAGTTAAATCACCTCCTCATGTTCTGCAGAAGCTGGTAGTCACTCATTGATTCAAATCAGGAGTTGGAGTAGAGGAACATCTAAAGCATGTAGGCCAGTGGTCCTCGAGGACCAAGATTAGACACACCTGATCTGCAACCTTGAGGAGAGGAAGTAAAATGGGGGGAGTGGATTTAGCAAAACTGACGTTGTTCACAACAGGTCATTGATGATCCTACAAGATGCTTAATCAGCTGCTTAATGAGTAGAGGCACACAGTCTCCAAGGAAGGTGCTAAGCTAATGCTAGGCTAATGTTTTAAAACTGTTCTGTCTTCTTCTGTCTTTTGAAGAGCAGAAACTGTTGCGTCTTTTGTTATTCAACAGTGCTTCGGTTGGGTTAAAAGGGACTTTAGTGATGTTTGTTAAACATGATGAACAGGAGAATTTCACTGCATTTTTAACCATCTGTTGTGATTAATTGTAATTAGACGTGCTACTAAATCTAATACGTGTAATGGCATTTATTAGTTGCTCATATCAGTATTCAATATGGGCTACATTAAAACGTAGGTACTTGTGCTCGGTTTGGGAAAAAAATTGTGGTATTGGTGCATCCCTAAAATCCACCTTTCCACGTTTCCTGAAAATCAATCACCCACCAAAGTGATCGTAGTAGTCTTCTGTGTGTGTGTGTGTGTGTGTGTGTGTCAGCTGTTGCCACAGCTGCAAGTAATGCTGTGAGGTCAGCTGCTTCTCTGAGACCCACCAGCTGCAGCCACAACACGTCTGCACTGCTGAAACTAATTACCAGCGTTAGGCAGACAGTCAGACACTGCTTCTGCCAAGCTCCACAGCAGGTAGGAAGAGTCGCCGAAACGAAACTTCTATTTGTCTTTGATGTGAAGATATTAAAATATTTTATCATAATTTATTTGTTGTTTGGTCACACATTAAACAAATGACAAGTAGACATCACATGCTATAGTGCTGCTTGTTATCAGCTCATTGTCGCTTCTGGAACAACAAAATAATAAGCTGACTTCTACCATTTGTTTGTCCTAAACCACATCCTCACGTTCAATTTTCCACATTAAGTTAGTATAAAGTTAATATTAATTTGTAACATATTTAATTAATTAACATTCCTTCAACGTTTGCAGCAAGATGCTGCATATCTTCTATAAGTCTGATGTAGAGAGCGCTATCTCTTCTGACATCATCTGCTGGGGCAGCAGCACCAGAGCATGTGACTTAATAAAGATCAACAAGCTCATAAAGAAGGCTGGCTCCGTTCTGGGGACTCCTCTAGAACCTTTGGAGATGATTGTACAAAGAAGGATTCTTCATAAAATGAAGAACGTTACAGACAACCCTCAGCATCCTCTTCATCAGACTCGTACAACAACAGAGTGTCTTCAGTCAGAGGCTTCTTCAGATCTGCTGCAAGAGATCCTTCCTGCCCACAGACATCAGCATCTAGAACAACTCTTTAATGAAACCAGGATGATGTGCTTTAAGGGAATATAAATGGACTGTATTTATATAGCACCTTGCTGCTCTCTAATCAAGATACGCTCATTTACCTCCACACCCACATTCATACAGCACTCAGCTAATCTAACAAATTATATTCTATAGACACTAATCAGTGAGGGGTTCAGTGTCTTGCCCAGGGACACTTCAACATGTGACTGCTGGTGGAATCAAACCCCCAACTCTCCCACTGAAGGTCCACTGCTCTAACCACTCAGCCACAGCTGCTCCAAAGGACAACTCACACGTAAACTTTTTAACCTGATCTATATGTACATACAGTGCATCTCCAAAATAAAAGCTTGTTGTTTGTTGAAAAAAGCAGTCGTGCTTTGACCCTGCAGTGTATCCACAAAAACGTTCTGGCAAACATTTTTTACCAAAAGCCAGACAAGTCCTGAAGTCCAGTCACATCCATTAGTTACTATAACTAAACTAACTTATTGTAAATGCTCCACACACACACAACTACTGCCAGATTGTTGTACAGTGTCGGACAATGAATGCTTTAAATAGATATGCTGCAATTAAAAACAGCTTTATTGTTCCAAATCAAGTGGTTTGTGGCGTCTGCGTAATTTTATAAGAAACATTTGAAACATCACTGTGCAACTATCAATAACGCTTTGTTAAATTTCCACGAATTTATTTAAATAACTGTTTTATATGTATTTTTTATTGTATATCAAACAGCAGCCAGAGGATCATGAGAAATGCTGCTGGGCTAACTCTGTACTTCTGCTGCCACCTATTGGACTAATGTCAGTTTAGAATCATTAAAGACAACTTGCTGTTTTGAACAAAAATAAAAGCTTTAACTGGCTTGTTCCTCCAGTTTCCCTTTTTTTTTTTATTATTAATTAAATTAGGATTATACAAATCCACCTTATTTTGTGTGTTTCAAGACATTTTTATTCTAACTCGTGTATTTGTTGTGATGAGTTTTATCTGTTTACTGTCCCTTTAAGAAGATGCAACACATGCAAGTCATATGTTCAAACATTTTTGCTACCAAATAATCTTTTCACGACAAACAAATCTAATGGAAAAGTACCAACAATCTCAGGAACATTTAATCTGCTCCAAAGTTCCACACTTTTCAAGACTTTAGTGTAACGAAACAAATAATCAAATTCACTATTGGACATTTTGCCGTTTAGTAAATTGCTTCTGGTACTTGTGTCTGAGCAGCAGGTACATGCAGAGATGCTGACGGCAGCAGATGAACCAGGCGTTAACAGTGTTTGTCCTGATTTGTTCTTCCAGCGTCTTCCTGGTCTTCAGACTTCAGTCTCAGACCCATCAGCAGTCACTGGTCTGTGTTTCTGTTTGGGCTTTGGTCTCCTGTAGCTTCTTCACCGTTAACGGCTGGTCCTCGACCCTGCGGAGGACTTGTTCTAGCTGTGTTGGGAGGAACTCAAAGGAGGAACTGGGTCTTCTGGCTGCTGACATGGAGATTGTTTAAGACATAGAGATAGATCAGGTGAAGCTTAAGTCCATCCTCCTTCCTTCTGAGGGACGCTGCTTGGCTGTGAAAAGGCTTGAGTCAGTGAGTCAGAGGCTGTTGATCAGAGCTCGGAGCTCGTCCTGCTGGGAACGACTGTTTCCAGCCTGGACTTTTAGAGCCTCCGTCAGGTTCTCTGGACCTTTCTGGGCCTCCAGGAGCAGATTCTTCAGCTCCTGCAGAGACACCGTGGACGTATTTACGCTGACACTTCAACACCCAGCTGCTTCTTGAGAGAAAACTGCCAACAGACGTCTCAACAACATCTGCACACTCATCGTAAGTTGCTTTACAGTTCCATACTTCTTGCTTAGTAAATTATTTTGAAGGGAACATGATTTACAGGAAATGTCTTGAGTCATCCCCAGTTCTTCAGAGTTTCTGAAGATATTTTAAAGTTGAACTCTTAACTGCTCACCGAAAGGTGAAGGTGGACATTAACGTTTATAAGTAATCATTGATCTTTAATCAGTGCTGAGCTGAGATTTTCTACAAAGTTAAATTTGATTCACTCGCTCATTGCTACTAAATAATTTTAAAGTAAAACTAAAAATATCTGAGTAAACTTTTGCATGGAAATATAACATCTTATTTTTCTGACAGCCCACTCTTAGGCAGGGACTTCAAGCAGCCCTGATCTTTTAAAGATGGTGGGCGGTGCTGCGTGGTGGCCTACCGTGGTTTCAGGGGTGAACGACTTGACTGCTTCCTCGACCTGCCAAAGAAGAAATAAGGCTGTCAACAACACTCTGACAACAAAAGTCTTGTGACCAAGATGAATAAATAAAACAAAATATTTGTGTCTTTGGTTTTCTTTGTCCTGATCATTTGCTTTTCAGTTGATTTTTGTTGCTTATACCAAAATCAAACAGGAAGTTGGGCCTCGTCTCACCAAAGCACGACTCGTCACAGCTTAGCCAACAACTGAAGATGTTTCATTACAATATTTGTTTTGAAGAGGAACACGTGTCAAAATGATCAGAAACATTTACGGTGTTGATTTTTTTTGTACCAACACTTGAAGAATGAGCAGGAAGTTTATTGAGTTTTTCCTTTACTACCTGCAGGAGGGCCTTTGCAATTTTCTGCTCATCCTTTCCGTTCACACACAGATTCAGCTCCTTTGCAGCTTCAGTCAGTTTTTCTGACTGACTTGTGTTCTCGTTGGTCAGAGTCGTCTTTTGGACACTTTCTCTCAGCCTGAATCAAGTCATGAAACACACCTGTTTAAGAAACCTGCTGATTATATCAAATCTTTAATGTTTGAACCAGAGGATGATATTTGTCTTTGTGCAGTGACTGCGTGCAGACGGGCGTTACAAACCTTAATGGATCAGACGAGGAACGCCAGGCCTGGATGGTTTCAGTCAGCTTGGCTTGGATCAGTTGTCCTTTTGTGCTGGATAACACTTCAGATACACTGCTGCCAGGAAACAAATTCATGAGCAGAGGAGGCACCTGCACAAATAGGTACACACACGATTTACTGACGTTTAGGTCAATGAGCTTAGAAATGCTAAAATGTCCTTATGAAATTTGTGTTGTTTGTTTTTCTTGTCGTATTGTTTTTGCACTTTATGTTCTGTGTTGCGCCGTGATCCAGGGGAACGCTGTTTCATTTCAACATGTACTAGTACGTAGCTGAAATGATAATAAAACCTCTTTGACTCTGACTTGGACTTGTTGCTTCTTTTGTTCAGAGCTTTAAGATGAATTTTGATGTGAATTGCCTCTAAATGTACAAACTGAGTTAATTAAGATTGATTAATATAAAGATAATTTCACCAAAAGTAAACTATAAAATTGTGTTTACATGTATTAGTCACTACATGACCTAAATAAATAAAAATCACCTATGATTTAAAAATACAGAAAGCAATTTTAAGACAATATGTAACACAGTAATGTTAGTTGCTCTATATGAGCAACAGAAAATCTGGTTCTATAGCTCACGTAACGTATTTTAGGCTCAGGTGTAGGTTAGACCATGGCTCTCTGAACACCACCTGCTGGTCCACGTTGAAGTAACACTTACATACTCTAATCAATAGTTAAAAGTGAGTAGACCCCCTACAAACCGATTAAATGTGTGTTCTCATTGTGAGACTACGTGTCATTTTGTTGGGTTTATCTGTTGTTCTGTGTGTTTTTTCATTCATTCAACCTTTATTTATAAAGTTTAGTCTCATTGAGTCACGAGGCCTCAGTTTCAACAGTTTGGTATTAGGTTTTAAGTTACCGGACCCTGTCCTGTATTTGCTTCCTGATTTATTTTGACAGAGAAGTTCTGCACTTTGTTCAGTTTACTTCCTGTTTTCCTCTGTCACACCTACATTCATTTAGTCATTACATCTCCAGGATACATATATAACCCTGGATTTCATTTGAAATCATGGCTGGATTCAGTCCTTGCCTGGTTCTTGTTTTTAATTAAATTATTTATTTTGCTTTTTAACTATGCAGCTGTACATTTAGTCATAAATTATTATTTTTTTCTTATTTACCTGCCTTCCTATTGCCTAGTCCTGTTTGGGCCCTTTTCCATCTCAATCTTCAGTCATTCATTATTTCATAACTCTGTGGGTAAAATTTAGCTGAAGAATTGTCGGTGAACAAATCAGAACAGTTCAGTCTCTAAATGTTTCAAGGGATTTTGCAGAAACCTTAAATGACCTAATGTTTGTCACCAGCAGCTGAATGTGCCACTGTGGTGTTTATCTACATTTTGATTGGAGAAGCAGTCGTTCCAGACAGACGTGAACTGACCTCGTCATTGGCAGGGTCCAGGATCAACAAACAGATAAAGTCCTCTCTGGCTTCTCTCAAGTTTAGAACCTTGCGGAAAGCCTTTGACCTGTTCTCGTAGTACCGGCCGATGGTCGGGTTGTACTTTAGAGCCAGAGTAAACATATCCACGGACTCCTGGAAACGCCTGAGACACAAAAACTGACATTTGCTCATTCCTGCTTTCTTTGGGTAAAACTGTAAAAGCAAGGATTGAAAATGTGTCTGTGAGGTCCTGACCTGTTCTGGAAACAGAACGAGCCCAACGTGTTGTGGATGACTGCAAGGCGGAGCCACACGGCAGGATCATCGGGCAGCATCTCCTCAGCCTGCTGGTAGTCGAGGAGAGCGTAGCACCAATCGCCCTGCTTAAAGAAACAATCTGAAAAACACAACAAAAAGCATTATAACGTCTTTAAATCAGTCACTTCATAGATTAGCTTAGAATCACATCATTGGTTTATTTTCATAGTTTCAAAAAACAAAAGTCTTTCTAGCTGTTCCTCATGTGGGCTTAGTGAAACATGGTTTTACTGTTCTGCAGAGAGAAGTGAAGCAGTGTTGCAGGTTAAAAAAGTCGTTCTCAGGTCCGCAGAATAATCATCATCAGGTTTTCTGGTTCCTTATAACGTCTGGTTGACATGTTCAGTGTCATAAGACTTACTGTCATGTGCTCCTTACCTGTATAATCTTCTGACGTTAATTATATATCAAGAAAAAACTGAATGCTCCTATTACTTAACATGCTGAAGGTCACAGATTTCACTTTATTGGTTTGAGAGATATTTGAAATAATTTTAGCAACTGTTTTGTGTCTTTTTGTAAACTAATAGATTAGAACTTGGTCCATGGTGGTCGATAAAAATGATGATCCGCTCACAGAGTGAGGAAACTAGTATTCACACATACACCTGAGAAGAACCGATGAGACGAGAACAGGCTCACCTCCTCGGTTCAGGTACAGACCAGCCAGGCCAGTTTCCTCGTTGATGGCCTTGTTGAGAAGCAGAGTTGCGTCTGTGTAGAGGCCTCTACTGAAGCACTGAACAGCAAAATCATTATAGGTGAGCGCAAGCTGAATCCGCCCCTCCTCTTGAACAGGCTCATCCTGGTCCTCCTTGACTTTAGACTCTGTCTGACCTGTGACCTGCTCGTCCTCACTGAGCTCCACAGCTTTGACCAGATCCTCGATGGCTGATGAGAAGTCCTTCAGACGTCGATGCAAAATCCCTCTAATAGAAAAAAGGAAGAGCTAAAGAGATTACATTTTCTGTAAAAATAGAGGGTTACTGCTGAATAACTGCTGACATTTACTGAACAAGCTCAAACTGAGTAATTAAAGCTAAAGTAAGCAGAACATTAAACTAACTAAATGATAAAAGAAGCAAAAATACTAAATAAAATCTAAAAGAAGCAGAATGATTAAAAGTAAAATAACAAAATCGTAGATAAAAGCTAAAATCAGCAAAATGGTACTTTGTGGCTAAAAGACAAAATTTTACAAAACACAATTGTTAACAACTAAAATTAACAAAAGGCTAGCTAAATGTTAAATGTACTAATAGGCTATAGCTAAAAGTTAAAAGTTGGAAAAACAGCAACTGAAAGCTAAAAGTAGCAAAAGGCTAGCTAAAAACAAGCAGAATGTTTGCAAAAGCTAAAAATTTGCAAAAGACTACCTAAATATAGAAGTATCCGAACACTAGCTAAAAACTAGAAGTAGCTAAAATATACAAAGGAAATATATTCTTAAGCAGATTAAAAAAAAAACTTTGAAGGAAATGAAGAAACTTCAATGTATATTTATAAGGAAATGTTTGTAAATAAATAAAGTATTTTAAAATATACAAGTTACAAAACAAAAGGTCACAGCACCCATCTCTTGAATGAGCTGAAACAGCACAAGAAGAAGTAAACAGATGGCAAAAAAAAATTAAAACAAATAAAACAACTAAATAGGGAAACAAGAATGTAAAATGATGAATCAGCATTCATAAAATAAAACATTTCACAATTAGATTGAGCTGGACCAAAAGTCTACAAGCCTAAACTCACCTGAACAGGTAGAGGCGCCCGTCCTGCTGGCTGCTCTGCAGAGCCACGTTGATCAAGCAGAGGGCCTCCTGCAGCCGACCAGCCAGAGTCCTGAGAAGCGCCTGCTGTCGGGCCTCTTCGCTCGCCTCCTGCAGCTGCAGCAGCAGGGCTTCTGCATCCTGACACGCTGGCTTCAGCGTTAATGCGGACTTCACATCTTGAAAACAAAGAAATGCCTGGACAGAAGAGAACATTTTGATTTGAAAAACAGTTAAAATGAAACAGAATAAATAAAGAAATCTATAAAGACCACCACACACTATGAAATCTGTCAGTTTGGAACTTTGCTGTTTGCAAATTGTTAAGTTTCATTTGGGCCACCTTTAAACAATGCAGCTTTAGTTCCTGCAACAGAAGGAGAAGGGCTGATGGAGTGTGTGACCCACAGCCTGCACAGAAACCACCAACAAAAACTTGGTGAGGAATGGAGCAAGAGCAAATCAAGTCACCATTTTTTAGCAGATCTGGAATACTTGATTTAAGCATTGAACTAAGGGCAGCACGGTGGATCAGTTGGTATAGTGGCCACCTAGGTCGTCAGATTGAATCCCGGGCGAGAGCCTTTCTGGTGGAGTTTGCATGTTCTCTCCGTGCATGCATGGGCTTTCTTCCGGTTTCTTCCCACAAGCCAAAAACATGCATGTTAGGCTGATTGGTGACTCTAAATTGTCCCTGGGTGTGAGAGAGAGTGAATGTTTGTTTGTCTCGTTTGTCTCTATGTGTCCCTGTGATGGACAGGAGACTTGTCCAGGGTGTCCCCCACCTCTCGCACAGTGATTGCTGGATATGAACACCAGTGACCCCCGTGACCCGAAAAGGAAGAAGCAGGTAAAGATAATGGATGGATGGATTTTAGTACTGAACTAATAGGAAGATGGCCATCAGACATGTGCAGTCTTATTTGTTTTTCACCGTTTTAGCTGATGCTCAAGACGTATAATACACCACACAGTTTGCTATACCAGCCACTGGCATCAATAGTTTAACAAGTGACCCCATAAACCTTCATCTGAGTGTTTGTTTGTTTTTTTAGTGTAAGAGGTTTCTGCACCTGGTTGATTCGTTTGTGAACCCGAGCTCTGAAGATGTAAAGATCAGCCGAGGGACTCTCAGCTATTAATTCACTCAACTCCTTGAGACAGTCGGCGTGGTGACCTGCAGCTGTCAGACAAGACAAACTGAGGAAAAAATAAACAAATACATTTGTGAACAACATGTTTGAAATGAAAACACAAGTAAAGAGCACATTAGATGAAACGTGAGGCGTAAATGTCCCATTAAAACTGGGTGCGTTTGCTTTTTTGTGTTTTTCTCAGAAACTCTGAAATATAAAATTAAAAGACAAAATATAATCGTGTTTTCTGATTTGTTCTAATGTTTATTACAGTTTTTCTATAAAATGTGTTTCCTAAAGCATTGGGGTGTTATTTAAATTGCATTTCAATGTGATTCCTTTGGTTACACTGTCAATTCTGTTTCTTTAGTTTTGCAGCTCGGGCTCTCAGCATGTTTAGACACTCTGCACATAAACAACAAGTTCAGCCTGACGTAAAGCCGCTGTAATGTGTGCATCTATGATGTAAACCAATACATCCAGGATGAATTTAGAGGTTCTGACCTTTTGACTTTGTAAATCTTGCATTCTGGCTTGACTTCAGCAGCTTTCTTGAAAGCCTTCAGAGCCTCAAGGAAAAGACCTCGGTCAAACAAACACTGACCCTGAGGACATCAGGATCAGAAAAATCACCATAAACCTTCTACAACAAGTATGATGGTGCAGGTGAAGCTCTGTCCCCTGACTCTGATCTAATTCTGGGTTTAACTTAACAAAAATACTCCAGCAGATGGCTTTAAGTACTTGATAGGATGTGCAAGTCAAAAATGTACAACAAAACCATTAAGTGTTTCATGAACAAGAGGACTTTTTAAAATATTCTATTTATGAGCATTGTCCTATAAATATCTTCATCTAGTCAGGTCATGGAGACAACAGGTTGAGGAGAGAAATTCAGGCCTCCCTCTCCTCACAGACACACTCATTTCCTCCTGGGGGACTCCCAAGGTGTTCACAGGCCAGAGAGGATATTTAATCCCCCTAAAAAGTTCTAAGTTTGCCCGGGGTCTCTTCCCAGTGGACCATGCCTGGAAAATCTCCAAAGGGAGGCAGACTCCTTTCGATGCAGACGAGCAGTGGCTCTGCTCAGCAGAAAATAAGAATAATGTAGAAACTTCACCTGGAAGAAGTAGATGAAGGCCAAGCGGGCATCATATGCTCCAGGCTCCAGGAAACCAGCTCGTTTATAACATGCCGCTGCTGACTGGAAGTCACACAGTTGCAGGTAGGCCTCCCCCAGACTCGCATGCAGCTCAGTCTAAAACACCCAGCAGCAAAGGTTATAATGTTAAAAACGTAATCAATAACAAGTGAAATGTACCAAGTGAACACAAATCTAACCAATTAACATTAAAAATTCAGAAAATCAAATCAAACATGAGCTGTAACTACTGCACATCCTCAACAATACAAACACAAATAAAACTGTTTGAAAGTCTTTCTTTTTTTTTGGTCTAATTACCTGCTCGGGTTGCAAAATGATAGCTTTGGAAAAACAGATGACAGCCCTCTCATACTGGCACTTTCCCATGGCCTCGTTTCCATTTGTGTAACTGTTAAAACAAACTTCATCAGAATTGAAAACAACTGGATTGTTAGGGTTACACGCTACAGTTTTCGAGTGCTAGTTTTTTCTGTATATTCAAGATATATTTGCCTCCCTTCTGAGCATTACAGCTAAGTACAATTTCAGTCCACTTGACATGTTAAGTGTACATTTATCAAGTGTAGACAATGAAGATACAGTAAGCACTTCTCCTGAATATGTTTGTATTTGGTGATCCTCACTGCTCTGCAGCTTTGCTCTGAATAATGAGGCTCCCCTGCAGGTCCGGTGGTTGAGGGTGGTTTTCTCCAGTTGTCTGAAGAGGTTTACTGAAACCTATGAAGGTGCTTTTTCTGTCGGATTCATCCTCCTTCTCTTCTGACACAGAAAATGGAAACAAACTCTGCTAAAAGACAACAGAAAACGTAAACAAATTAGTATTGAATTGCACTAAAGGCTGCAGTAAAAAGTGGGTATTGATGTGCAACTGCTGCTTGTTAAAGTTGTTTTTTTATTTCTATGTTTTTTCCCAGTATTCAGATAATAAGAATATAAAAATAATGCCTTTATCATGGCATTAATTTAAACAATGTAAGTTCATTTATTTCTGTACAATTATTTTGATTATTTATGAAAATGTAAATAAACATCAACTTAATTACGCAAAATAAAAGCAGGCAAAAATGCTAATTATATATTTCATGACACAATTATACACGGTTACACATCTTGTTTTGGTTAAGTAAGGATTTATACTTGAAAAGTTTTTGACATCCAGAGTATGACAGATTTTTGTGATTAATTTGTACAAACATAAAAAGTTCTTATTTTAAATGGAATGTCCTAGAAACAAAGTTCATCTTTGTTACAAAAGCTTGTTTTGAGTGGTTGGCTAACAAGCCGTTACGCCAACAACAACAAAAAACTTTATTTAACTTTCATTTTTTAACTTACTGTTCGGTTATTTGTCTCCTCCGAAGTGGTCATTATTTTTTTAAATCATAAAGTAGCACCTAAAATGTGTTCTACGGTAATGTACTTTTCATAAATTTGTCTTGTTTAACAGCCCAACGTTAAATCTGGGCGTTGCTATGGAAACCAACAGACAACCCACAACGACGCTTTTACAAGATGATGCCCACTTTACCCGTTTCCGGTTTCGTTTTGATTCAATGAAAGTACAGTAGTCAACGAACCAAACTGTTTTAGCCTAATGGATGTCAATAGCTTGGTATAAGCAACTTAATCATTAAAATTTTATAAAACGAGTTATATTTCTGCTGACATGCTTATTTCGTTTCACGCTATGTCTAATAAAGCAACCTATACACTGTTTCTAACATTGATGCTAACAGTAAAATTATTTTTTTAAGTATTTATCAAATTCAAATGCACAATAGTTGAAAATTTTGAGTTGTAGTGTAGTAATTCCCGTATAATGGTGTGTTCAAAAATGGTGAACGCCTTAAAAAAGCGGATAAATTACTTTTTTTTTTTTTTTTTTTGTAGCCAACGTGTGTATGGCGCTTGAGAAATTTTACACATAATGACGCGCATGCGCACTGGCGGCATTTTGCAATGCATTGTGGTCTATGTCTACTTCCATTTCATTGTTAGTTTCATAATTTATACCAGTTTTTAGTTTCATTTCGTGTTCACATTTATCTGTTTCAGCTGTGCTCTGCCATACCGACATTGCATTCTTAGGACATTTCACAACGTTCAATACCAATAAAACTAATTTGTTGTTATATTTGGAAGGAAAAGTCAATAAAACGGTGAGTGCAAAGGATCAAAAGCTTGAGATATGGAGTTGAAGGCCAAACTTGAATAACCGGATCATAAACATATTTGAGCACGCGACGGCCCGATTTTACGCATGCGCATTACTGCCAACATACTTTTATTTTGAAAATCACAGAAGCAGCAACACCGGACGGTCAGCTGACTGAAATGTTGATAAAGCAAGTCGGCCGCCGGTGAAAGGAGCATTTTGTCCTGATCCTTTAGGCGGTGGCATGGTGTAATCGTGTTCTGGTTACTTCAACGTAAGTGCGGTTCTATTCTTTTTTTTATTGCTCTTTTAGTTTGTACAAACAGCCATCGGTGTTGTTTTCCTGCGTGGCTGTCATGTCAAAGGAGGACCAGAGGAGCTGAACACCCCCGGGGACGGATCGCTGCCGTCGGTATGGACATCCAGGATGAAAGACGGAGGCTGCTGGAGGTGGAGAGTGGAGATCAGAACCCGACTGGACTCATGTCCGAGCAGGATGCTTATCTCAGGTCAGCTGGTTCCGTCCTTCAAAATGATCACAATAACCAGACATTCTGAACAGGACACGTGTTTTGTTGAGCACTTATTGCAAAGTTTGTGAAAATATCCTTATTGCTCCCAAGTGTCTTCAGGTTGCTTGTTTTGCCTCAGGAAATAAAAATAAAAAAAGTCAGTTTACACGTGATGTTTTCCAAATCCAGTCCTTAAAGTATGCTGTTCCTGCTTCAACAAACTTGTTTCAAAGGAATTATCTACGTCATCAGTTTGTCTTTAAGTGCCTTTTGAATAAATTAATAAAGGTACTCAGTAATCAAACCGAAAAATCCTGAACTGTATCAAATAGCTACGTAATTCTGAAATGTGGGAATGCAATCAATGAAAACAAAGCACTTTTATCTACAGTTCTGTTCTCGACAAATCTAAGCGTAAATATGCACGAACTTCTCAATCACAAGCAAATTTTGCTTTAACTTTATTTAATGACACATTAACTATTTTACATAAAAAATACCCTGCTGATTTTGTTTCTTACTTTATGATTTAATTACCACTTTTCATGACATTGCAATGAATATTGACTTAACACAAAAAAAACAGTTTATTCTTATAAACTCCTTTTTTTTTTTTAGAGCAGACAGGGGAGTGGGCCTGTTGCTCTAAAACCCAAAAATGTGCAATGTGCATTTAGAAGTTCTTAATTTTTCATGCAAGTTTGCTCGCTGTGGCAAATAAAGTTGACTTTAAAAGATTTAACTGCAAAGACAAAAGTTACTTTTCGCTTCAGCTGCACAACTTTCCCAAAAGTTGTTTTTAATGTACGGACGTTCTTTTGCACTGCACCCATCATAAACTAGACAAACTGCATTTTATGTGAAAATGCAGTGGGAATTAAATTTATGAGGAGCAGAGCACTGGCGAAAAGTTTCATTAAACTATAAGAAACTAAAAGTAGAAAACGACGGGCTAAAAACTCTAATTAGCAGAAAGGTAGCTAAAAGCTAGAAGTTACCAAAAGAGCTAAAAGTAGCAAAGGAAGACAAATATAGAGCAAGGTGGCTGGAGCATTTTAAAAAGATTATTTTTCATTTTTTATGAAATTGAATTGATCTCAATATATTTCTAGGAGGAAAATATTTATAAATAAAGTTAAATACTTTGAAAAGTAAAAAAAAAAAAAACGCACAAACCTAAAGTCATAGCACCATCTCCTGAACGAGCTGAACCTTTTGATGCATGAACGGCTAAAATATCACAAAGTATGCAGAAGTAGTGAGATTTTTAAAAAAGTAGAAGGAAAACAGTGCAGTATGTTCAAATAAATATGGACTAAATTGTTTTGTCAAACTAAACATGAATAAAATGTTGTTGTTTTTTATTGTATTTTACGTGTAAAAGCTGCACAAAAACAACCGCAGAGAGCTTAACTCTCATCTTTTGTCTGTCTGCAGTAAAGTGAAGAATGGGAAGTTGTACCTGGCGACGTTGTGCTCCGTTCTGGGTCCCATGAGCTTCGGGTTTGTTCTGGGATACAGCTCCCCCGCCATCCCCGAACTCACGAAGATCTCCAACCCTCATCTGAGGCTGAACGATGACCAGGCCTCCTGGTTTGGGGTACGGTATCCGTCATGCTGACGTAACGTCACATGTCTGGAAGGAGAGCTGAGATCACGCTGCATCAGCAGCTTCATGTCACCACATGCTGTTCAAAAACACTTATTACAGCAGAAAGAAAGAAAATAAGATTTAGTGTGTACACCAGTCACTTATGTCAGAGCTATACATATTTTATAATTAAGACCAAAATTAAATCATCATTTTTTTTTCCCAATTATGACCTTTTGAGGTTCTGAGCCGTCTACTTCTTTAGTCCATAGTGACAGTGGGAGCAGCAGTGGGGGGGCTGCTGGGAGGCTGGATGGTGGAAAAGATCGGCAGGAAGCTCAGTCTGATGCTTTGTGCGCTGCCCTTCGTCTTTGGCTTCACCATCATCATCGCTGCTCAGAACATATGGATGTTTTACGTGGGCAGAGTGCTGACCGGCCTCGCCAGCGGAGTCACGTCACTGGTGGTCCCGGTAAGATACACTTGAAAATTTTTAAATAATTTTAACTACAGTAAAATAGCTTAGGATCATATTAACGTCATCCCCTGTGAAAATTAACCGAACTTCTTCAGTCTCATTATTTGTTCAATAAAACTAACTCTGCACTTTAATTAATGGATTATCTTTAGTGAGATTGCCTCTATAAAAGCAGGTGTTTAGGCATTTTGCTGCTCTGAAAGGTGTGTTAACACAATGCCAAGGTGGAACAACATCAGCAATGATTTTAGAAAAACTGCTCTTGATTTCCATCACTCTCAAAAGATCATAAAGCCATTTCTAGACTTTGGAGTCCATCGTTCTGCAGAGAAACTGATTATTCACGAGCGGAAAACATTCCGGACAACGGCCAGCCTCCCCAGGAGACATCCCATCATGCTCACCCCGAGGTCAGACCGCGCAATGCTTAGAGACATGGATTAAAACTTCAGCTGGCTGGATAAAAGTTCAAGTTTATGTCATTAAAATGAGAAAAAGACTGAACGCATAAGACTTGTTTGAAAGGGTTGCAGGAGAAAGTCTTTTTTTTTTTTTTTATAAAACAAACATGGCCGCACAACAGGTTTGTAAAGTTTTAAACTACAAGACGTCTTGACCAATGTACTTTGGAAAGATGAACCCCACCTAGAGATGTTTACCCATCATGCACAGCTCCATGATGAAAGAAAACTGAACAGCAGATCAGCGTAAAACAATAATTCCGATTGTCAAGCATGGTGGTGGAGGGGTGATGATCTGGGCTTCCTTTGCAGCCACTGCACCTGGACATCTTGCAGTAACTGAGTCGACCACGAACTAATCTGTAAATTAAAGGAGTCTAAACCTTTTGAAGAAACGTGGGACAAAAATCCTCCACAACCTGGAGCAATAAGATGATTACTAACAGCTAAAGTGCTTCTACAAACTACTAATTTTGATCTCGTCTCATTTTCACCCACTGCTTTGACTTTTCTTTTTGAATGTGTGCTGAGTAAATAAGCAGAATTTAATGGACTGTGTGTCCTCTCCTCCCTCAGCTTTACATTTCTGAGACGGCACACGAGAAGGTCCGCGGGATGCTAGGCTCCTGCGTTCAGCTCATGGTGGTGACCGGCATCATGGGAGTTTACCTTGCAGGTTTGTAATAACTCCTTCACAACGATCCGAGGGCTCAGACTCGTGAAACGGTTTGCGCAGCTGATCTGTGAATCATTAAGAGTCTTACACGAGGAAACTAACAAATTTCAATCCGTGGCCGTGCCCTCTGATCAATAAAAGCTCTTCTGCCTTTATCGCTCAAACGCTCTGAGGCAGCACAGTGCAGCTCTGAGTGTTTTATCAGAGGTTGTTCGACTCCTTTGTGACTCCTAATCAAATGTTACGGGGAAGAGGTGAGCGGCTGGCTGTCAGGTGACCCGATTGTCTCCAGATTTGATGACATTCCTCTGCTGCCTCTTCAACAGCAGCCTCCACTGTTCGCCCTGTACAAATAACGTCTCGCTAATCTCGTTAACTGCATGCCGCTCACGTTTTCCCAATAAAAGCTGGAGGGTCTTGTGAGGCGGCCTATCACGTTCTGGCTCCTCTAGTGCTCATGTCGGTGCACATCAGCTGGACGCATAAACGAAAGATAATCTGAATGCTGTAGATTATCTGAAGCCACTCTTGCACACTGTTGGGGTTTTGTGTGAATAAAGAGAGCGCTGTAGTCTGTTCAGAACTGCCTCTAGTTTTTGACCTGAGCGAGGGCACAGATAGTCGGGGTAGAGATAAATGCAGTGTTGACGCAGAGTGACAACATTTCCCTCAGACCACCGTTTTATCATCATCCATGGTGTAATCTGAACACAATCTGTCCAGAAATAAACTGTAAGACTTGTGTTTTTAGTTTGTTTCCTTCTTGCTCAGCTCTGCAGAATTTCTGGTTAACGACGTTAAACCACAGTTCTTGAGAATATTTCCAAAAAGCTGCATTTTGCGTTTATTTTTGGTTTGGCGTTTCTTTCGACTAACCGTTTATCATAATTCTTCTTATTTTTTTTAAATGGCAGTTTTCTTTATCTGGATTTATTAACTCGAGTGAATTACCAGGACGTAGTGTGGTGAGTTTATTTTTAGTTCGTTTGCGCCGTTTGTTTGTTTTTTTGATTCACCGTGGTCAATGTGAGCTCCAGTGTGTTGTGTTGAGGAAGAAATGGTCTTAGTTGAGTTATATCACATTATATTCACCTCATTAAACACGGCGATGATGCTCTATTATTATGAAGCAGCGTAGGAAACGGATGACGACTGTTTCACGGCGGTAGATTTATACAGGTTAAAATCTTCAGTCGGTGGAGCTGCAGTAGCTCGGTGGGCAATACTGGGCGGCTGTGGTCGACTGGTAATAGCAGTCATCCTCAAATGCAAGAGTTGGGGGATAGATTCCACCAGCAGTCACATGCCAAAGTGTCCCTGTGCAAGACACTGAACCCCTCATTACCTCTGTGTGTCCCATCAGTGTAAGAATGTGATAAAGCTCTGATTAGTTTTTGTAGAGATCTAGTATAGAGCTGTATGAATAGGTAAATGAGGGCACAGGTTGTTGTAAAGAGCTTTGAGTGTCTTGATAAGATAGAAAGGAGATATAAGTACAAACCATTTACTGTGGTCTCATTGTCCTGAGGCTGCAGGTTTGAGCCCAGGTTGAGTCCTGAAGGGCATCCGGCGTAAAACAACTGACGAATCTTTCATGTGAGTTTACTGTCCGAGTCGACCCCTGCAGAAGGAAGCAGCCGAAAGAAAATCATCTCTTATATCTCGTCTCAGTAAATTAAGCTACTATAAAGTGAAAGGGGCGAACGAAGCCGAAGAGTTTCTTCAGATCTGTTCTTCAGACTTCACCAAGGCTGCGCATCGTTTCCGCTCACGTTCGCAGATTTTATGAACGTGGGTTTTGTGGAGGTGTAGATGTTTGTTTCTGTTGACTTTCTAGAAGTTTGCTGCAGAGTGATGCGACGGGCGTGAGGTCGTGGTCCGTTTCTTCTGCTGCGATGCTCGATGGGAAGACAAAACCAGCTTTGATAAGACTCGCAGGCTGGTTGAGTCAGCGGCGCAGCAGGAGAATCGGCTCCGCAAACAGAACCGGTGGCACGACAAAGAGCGAAGAAAACAAGGAAGTGTTTGTGTGGAGGAACGTTGTACAAACCGATAACAGCTCAGAAACAAATGTAGGAAGTACCACTCAACCAAAAACAAGAACAGGAGCTGAAAAAATTAATAAACCCAGGAAATATAAATAAATCAAGGCGGTAATTTCCCTCTGGTCTAATTATAGAAAGAGCACGAAGAAGGCATGTGATGGGACCAACCATTATGGAGCATAAATGACTGACTTAATCAGTTTTATGTGTTAGAAATTACACTTATTCAGCTGGTCAGTCGTCAGCTTTAAGATCAACATCTATGTGTTTTATTTAAATTCAAAATTCTAATTCAAAAATACTTTATTAATCCCAGAGGGAAATTAAATGTTGTGGTAACTCATCATCCTGGTTTCATTAAAGAGTTGTTCTAGATGCTGATGTCTGTGGGCAGGAAGGATCTCTTGTAGCGGATCTGAAGAAGCCTCTGACTGAAGACACTCTGTTGTTGTATGAGTCTGATGAAGAGGATGCTGAGGGTTGTCTATAATGTTCTTTAGCTGTTTTGCAAACATAAATGGTAAAAAGTTAACAGGATGCACTTTACTTTTCGTTTCCTTTTTTTTTATAACTCTGTAAGTGTGTAGTTTTTACTGCAAGGGTAAAGCAAGATGGCTGACGGTTATACTTCAGTATTTGGTGAATTTCAGCTTAAACAAGATTCAAATACCGTATTTTCCTGTGTATAAGTCACAAATTTTTTTTTGCATAAATCTGACAGTCCTGTGACTTATACGTTTAACCACTTATCTACTTTTTTCCATGTTCATAACACAATTTTTGACTAACGCATCAAATGTTTGTTCATACTGACATGAATCGGAGGAAACATTATCATTTGCAGCCGCTAGAGGCGCGAGAGGGCCCTCTAGGCTTTACTACCAGTAGGCATATATGTTGTTCCTGTACCGCTACACCCCCCCACCACCACCAACACCACCACCACCACCACCATCCCTCCCAGCCAAACATTGACAATTAAAGTGCATTTATTAAGAAAAAAGTTAAACTGAGACGCACCTTTCCTATAATGGCAAGCAAACAATTGCTTTTAATTGTTAATCTTGTTAAATTTCAAAGAACTGCAACAGAGAGTCCTCCCGTGAGCGCTCCCGCAGCCGCCAATCAATTTTTGGCACAACACCGGCCCACGTTTCCCGGGGGTCAGCAGTGATGCATAATAAACGCAACTTATACTCCGGAGCGACTTATGCTTGAAAATACTGTAAATTGATATGCATTTCTTTTAAAAAAATTGACTGTTTTCTATTTTCAGATTTTCCAAAACCGATGATTAAAGCTCTTTCATGCAGTGCACCTGCTGCCTTGATGCCCTCAGAAACAAACATCTGGACACTTAAGGTGCTCTGGTGGTTGTTTTTTATGTTTCCCTGAAGGTGTCTTGTGTCTCGGTGCGTCCTGCAGGTCTCTTCATGGACTGGCGCTGGCTGGCGATCTGCTGCTCCATCCCTCCGACGCTGCTCATGGTCTCCATGTGCTTCATGCCCGAAACGCCCCGGTACCTGTTGTCAAAGGGGAAAAGGCGGGAGGCCGAGAACGTGCTGCAATACCTGCGGGGGCCGGACGCTCCCGTGGAGTGGGAGTGCGCTCGCATCGAGGAAGCCTTTGACGAGCAGGTGAGCGAATCGGTGATCGTCAGATATCTGAGCATAGTTCTGAGGAGAACGTTCCTCCAGCTCAGTCAGAAGGTGTTTCACTCCCTGCACGTTTAAAAGTCTGCTCTGCTTCCTCTCAGGGCTCGAGCTTCCACCTGTCAGACCTGAAGGACCCCGGCATCTACAAGCCTCTCGTGATCGGCGTCATGCTGATGGTCTTTCAGCAGATGACCGGGATCAACGCCATCATGTTCTACGCTGAAAACATCTTCCGACAGGCGCACTTTGAGGTAACGCAAACGACAAGCTTTTCACTTCCTGTTTCAAATACAAGTGTGTGCACAGTTCACGATGGCTACCATGGCTGATAAATTTAAGCAAACACATAATTGGCAATAACATTTACTTTTACAGAAACTGAGCTAATATTTGGTGTTCTAGTAACCGAGTCATCCCTAATACATACTCCAGTTTCTAATATGAGATTGTCTGAAACCTTTAATTCACATTTTGGCATGAATGGCAGCGATTGATGTGTATTTCTTTAAAAAATGCTATTTTCAGTTCATCTGTTTTGGGGCTAAACATCTGAATCCCATCCTCTATGTAAATGATAAATAAAGTACATAAAGCAACTTGAAGTATAAATCAGTGTACCATTTAACCCATGATGCACAGCGTATCGTGTATATTGTTTGTTGTTGTAACAACAGAAGAATGTTGTTTTTCCAGAACAGTGGCCTGGCTTCAGTGATCGTCGCTCTCATCCAGGTGGTTTTCACCGCCATCGCCGCTCTGATCATGGACAAGGCCGGCAGGAAAATCCTTCTCGTCATCTCAGGTACCCTCGTTCCTTAAACGCACCGCTCTGCAGAACCAGATCAGAAGAAAAGAAACGTGAACAAACATTTACTCTCGCTTTCATTTTAGTGCCGTCTGAACCCAAGAACTTTGTTTTTGTCTCATCAGTTTCATTTTATTAGTTATTTTGTACCTGTTGTTCTGTTTGGGGTCAAAAACAGCTGGGATGGTGAAGTTTTTACTCATTCTTATAAAATGTCCATCGTTTAACGGTATCATGGTAAAGTCTCCAACTCTGATGGACGTATAATGTGCGTTACTCTTTTTAATCCTTTTTACATCACTTTAGAACAGGGGCACCCAGTGCATCAATCGCAATCTACCGGTCGATCACAAAGGCATTATTGATAGATCACGGCATTAAAAAATAGATGTCAGCCTATCATCCATCATCATTATGAAATTTGTTATTTGATTGACATACAGGGCAGCTAGTCATGCCCTCATTCTCTCAAACCAGGTCTCAGAGTGGAGATCCCCCCCCCCCCCGAAGATGTGAAATTCTCTGTGTGAAGTTGCACATGTGCACGCAGGCAACTCCAAAATTTTCTGCAACAATATCAACATTTATAATACCAACAGTTATAATAAATATAACAACAGTTATAATAGATATAACAGTTATAATCAATATAACAACAGTTTTAATAAATATAACAACAGTTTTAATAAATATAACAACAGTTTAAATAAATATAACAACAGTTTAAATAAATATAACAGTTTAAATAAATATAACAACAGTTATAATAAATAACAACAGTTTTAATAAATATAACAGTTTTAATAGATATAACAACAGTTTTAATAGATATAACAGTTTTAATAAATACAACAGTTTTAATAAATACAACAGTTTTAATAGATATAACAACAGTTTTAATAGATATAACAAC